AGCAGGTCTTGGACATTACCGCCTCCGCCGGAGCCTTTGCTGCAAGACGACATGATGGGACCGTGGTCACATGGGGTGAGGCGAAATTCAGTGGAGACAGCAGTGCTGTTCAAGCGCGACTCTTGCAAGTTCGCAAGATCTATGCGACACCACACGCCTTCACAGCAACCAAAGAAGATGGAACAGTGGTCACGTGGGGAGAGCCAGAATATGGTGGTGATTGCACTTCAGTACAAGACCAACTCAAAGACGTTTGTGAGGTTTGTGCCACGGCTGGTGCCTTTGCAGGCCTCCGTGCAGATGGGACCGTAGTGACCTGGGGCAATGCAGCATATGGTGGTGACAGTGCGACAGTCCAGGAGCTTCTGGTGCAAGTGGCTTGAGTCGAATTCATCTGTCTGCAGCAGTGTTCTACAGTTTAGGATTTAGGGTTTCAATGCTTTCTCTGCAGTTGCTCCTCCTACTCTTGCTTCTCCTCTTACTAAAAGCAACGCCTGTACCGTCAGCAATACAGTCGCCTCAACGGTTCTTGCTCATACCCGTGCGCCTATACCAATGTCACTTCTTCACAACAATACCTGTATAGCTTTCTTTGTCTTGCACAGCAACAGCGACGACGGTTACTAGGCGCGATCCTACTAATTTCTATGACGACCGCGAACAGGAATCACAATGGCAGAATACAATGACATTAGAACAGCGACGGAAACTGTAATGATAATAGTGTGCTCATCATCAACATCATCGTCGTCATCATCATCATCATCATCGCCATCGCCACCACCATCTTCATAGCACCAGTGTTCATGCTGGCTACAGATACTGCGACCGTTGCTGGAACTCATGAGCTATATACCAGTGGAAGTCCTTTCAGCAAATGCAGTTCATGTACTTAGCTGTCGCAAAAACCTCCGTCCGTTCGCAGACAATCACTGTGACACCGAAACGCTGACACGCTGACACTGATTTCCTTGAAGGTTCTCGACTCAAGAGCAGTTGTTGTATTCTGAAGATTCTTGTTTTTCACTGTTTGCTTAGAGCGGCTCCTTGTAGTTTTGGCTCTAAACCCTAAACCCTAAACCCCTCAACACTAGTACCCCGCATAGTAACCCACCATCAAGCCCAGGTCCAGACTCTCACTGCTTCAGCTCGGGCCATCGCCGCTCGCCGAGCAGATGGCCGCGTGGTGACGTGGGGGTGCGCAGAGAGTGGCGGCGATCTCCAGCTTGCACCAATTTAGAGCTTGGGTTTAGGTTTATCTGAAGTCTTCGGATTGAGCCGGCCTGTGCCGAATTCAAGACTAAGGGTTGCTCTTCGGATTGCGCTTTTCTTGGAGTTTGAGGGTTGAGGGTTGAGGGTGGAGCGGTGCTCTTCAGGCTTCACCAACTGAGACTTGCTGCTACATCAAGGGTTGCACCGGTGCACCTGAAAGTGCAGAGGGCTTGATCTCATGTTTTGTAGGATATTTGAGATTTTAGAGTAATCAACGAAACCCCTTTATTGCACGAATGAAGCTCTGTCTTGCTTCGGCAGCCTAGCTGTATAAGACCCCCTTCAATGGCACGTGGCAATGACTTGGAAGTTCGCAAGTCAAGGGACTTCAGTACGAACCTCCCAAATAGTATAGCCTCCTCAATCAAAGTATTTTCCCCAAATGGTATAGGATCCTTTGAAGAGAAACCGCAGCTATTGCAGGATCCTTACTTCTCGAAGAAACCTCACATAGGGAGGTTCCTTAATCAAAGTATAAACCGAGAATAGTACGGTCCTTCATACAGGTATAAGCTCAAAATAGTATACGATGCTGAATTGAAGCGACTCTTTCGGGCTGGGCCCGGAGTTCGTTTTCATTACAATCTTTAGTCAAGCGGTCTTGCAGCCTTTGGGTAGTTTATGGCTTTCACATGTTTTCAAAACTTTTCAGAACCACCAATCCTGCTCCTTAGGGTTCCTAGTGTACAAAGCCTTGCTTACACACTATGAAGGCTCGCATGTAAGAGGCTGGGCCGTGGATATTCAGTCTTCATGGTTTAGGGTGAGTTTAGGGTGGCCATTTGGATTTTTTGTGTTTTGAGTTCGAGTTCAGGATAAGTTCCGGGCTTTAGCTCAGTATGTTTTGCAGCGGAGGGTTCATAGTTCAGGTTCGTTTCGGGTTTTTGCTTCGTAGCTTTCTGGTTTGTGGGATGTGTGTTATAGAAGATCGAGCCAACATGAATGCAGGTTAAGCTATAGCTCACTGTCTACGGAGCACAGCATGTTCGGATCAAGCAAGGGTAGAGGGCTCCGGAGGTTAGCGATGGATCCTGGAGCCCAACTCTCAGCCCCCAAACCCTGAACCCTAAACCGTCCCACCTCCCGCTGAAAAGCCGCGACACGAGACCAGGACAGTCGTGCGGTTCAGGACGAGCTGTTTCAGGTCGAGGACAGCAGTGGGCGCCAATCACAAGTTTGGAACACTCTGCACATTTCAGTTGCTGTTATTGATATGTTTGCCATTGCGGCAGAACATGCCGGGCTCAAAGGGCCGGAAAGTCCCTTCAGGGAGAAGCCAAAATCCCGTACCGGACGCTCCTTTAAGAACGCAGCTGACAGTCCCTTTTTTCCCCTAATGCGGGCTTAAGGTTCCCCCCCCCAAAAGGGGGGGTCCCCCTTAGAGGAGTTTAGAGTGCCGTCTCCCCTTTGTGGGTGCACTTTGGGTTCGTGATGTCAGTGTCCTCGCCGGCTGAAGCCGTGGTGCCGGCGCTCTGCCTCCAAGCAGCTTCCCGAGATGATGTGCCCTCGGTGGAGGTGAGAGTTTCAACAAATAGGGCTTTGGAGTTTAGGGTTAAGGGTTATATAGATCTTATTATTTCGGTTGTAGGGTTTATAGGGTTTATTAGGATTCGATCTTATGATTTAGGGTTTAGGGTTTAGGGTTAGATCTTATTATTTGCAGGGCTCTATATTACGGGTTCCTTGCTCTCTGCAGCGCTTATGAGGCATTGTGTGTCACAGACGCTGCCAGATTGGCGGCGTTCAAGGCGCGGGTCGCCGAAACTTCGGGCCGCCATGTTTGGGAGTCCTTGTCTTTGGGGCTTATAGGGTTTAGGGTTTTAGGGTTTAGGGTTTAGGGTTTAGGGTGTAGGGTTTAGGGTTTAGGGTTTTAGGGTTTAGGGTTCAGGGTTTATAGTTCAGGGTTTGGGAGTCGATTCAGGGTTTAGGGTTCGGGTTTGGGAGTCCTTGTCATGAGGCTCCCTAGCGTTCTGGCCAGGGTCCTTTACAACCAGGGTCCTGTTATTCTGGATTCTAAACGAGGGTCCTGAGAATCAGGATCCTACAGTACTATATCAGGGCCCGTGTAAGATTTTAACCAGGACGTGTTGATTTGGGCTTTTATGCTGAGATCCTTACAGCATGGATCCTACTAATGGTTTACAGTTTGATACTGGGGTTCTTAATTAAGGTAAGGATCCTAGTACATATTCTGGCTTCTAACGGAGGTCCTGTGAAAACGGGTCCTATTGTGTTGGCTTGAATGTCAGGATCCTTTCAATAAGGAGCCTGCAATTTTGAGGCCTCTGTATGGGGCTCCTTTTCATGAGGATCTTACTATTTTCGCTTCTACATCAGGGCTCCTATGAAAGTCGATCCTACTACCGCCTTCACTGGCTTCTCTATGACAACCCCAAACCCTTTAAACTCCAAACCCGACAGCCTAAAACCCCAAACCCTGCCCTAGACGATAAAACCCTTAACGCTTCTAAACCCGCCCTACCCATAGGGCCCATAGTAGTTCCTTTTTGCGGCTTAGATTTAGGATCTTATTAGGGAATCTCAAAAAGGAACTATTCTGGGGGCCTTTGGGTAAACCCCAAACTCAATAAACAAAACCCTAAACCCGAAACCCTAAAACCCTAAAAAACCATAAACCCTAAACCCTAAACCCTAAACCCCTAAACCCCTAAACCCCTAAACCCCTAAACCCCTAAACCCCTAAACCCCTAAGCCCAAACTCAACAAACAAAGCACAGGAGGCGGTCGAAGTGAGGAGTCGTGGGGTCGCCGCGTACCTGTCAAAGCATCTGAACGCGACCGAGCTGCGAGACTTCCCGCTACCGATCAATGTGGGAGACTCCAAATATTTAGGGTTTAGGGTTTAGGGTTTAGGTTTTAGGGTTTAGTGGGGGGCTATATATGGTTTCTACTAAGGGTGGTAGGGGTTTCTTGTCTTAGGGTTCCTACACAGGGCTTGTTAGGGTTGTTTTCTGAACTTCCCAGGTTTGTACCATAAAATGGTGCAAATGGACAGACCATGGCAAAAAATGTCCGGATCCATCGGTTCTCAATACCTCAGATCTTGGACAGGTGTGCTGCTGTCTATATGGCTTCTGGAAGTTCTGGGACGATCACTTGCAGAATCCCAGCTTGAACCCGAGGAAACGACTCTTCAAGAACATGTCTGCCAATGTGTCTTTGCTAGCAGCCGCAGCAGCCGACGGCAAACAAAGACTTCTAGAGAATCTTTGGCATGCCCAGGGCCTGCATGCGGACTGGCAGTTTGGTGACTGGCAAGCTGCACTTGCTGCGGCGGTCTCCCGGAATGACCACGATGCTGTGCGATTCTTGCTGGAGCACGGCTGCCTTCGGTACCAGTGCCATGGTTCAGAGCCGTCATACCAAGGGGTTCCGCTAGTAATTTGGGCTGCGAGTCTGGGCTTGGGTGGCATTCTGGACCTCTGGACAGCCTGCTCGAGAAGCATGCCTCGCTGCAGGTGGCACCCAGCAGAGCAGACTTTGAGTTCACGGCACTGACAGCAGCTGTCTTCTTTAATGTGAATGAGGATGCTTTGGCTCTGATTGAAGATCTTGCCCGAAGACCTGCAGATTTCCGCTGGCTGGCACGACAGCCATGGCGTGGCAAGCCGTCCCTGTTCCTGGCAGCAGAACAACGAAATCCTGAGGTACTGAAGGTATTGTTGCAGGCCAAAGTAAGCCCTGAACAGACGGCATCTTGGGGTGAAATGGCAATCCACAAAGCAGCTTACCAAGGTGATCTTGACTCGGTCAAGCTGTTGTGGAAGTTCCGCGCCAATGTGGAGGCGCAAAACACCCGTGGGGCCTCTGCTTTGATCGTAGCAGCTGATATTGGTCATGCTGCTGTCGTTCGATACCTTGTGGACGTTTGCAAGGCCAGGCTTTCCACGCCCGATCTCTGGGGATTCACAGCCGCACATCGTGTTGCAGTGACGGGCCGTACGAGCTGCATGGACATGCTCGAGCGCAACCATGATGCTTTCTTACAGTGCATCAATCAGCGAGAACATCAGGGTCGCACTGTTCTGGATGTGGCTGCAAACTTCGGGCACGCAGATCTTGTAAAAGATCTGCTGCCCAAGACTCAGGACCAGACAACGGCCCTGTCGTGGGCTGTGGCACATCCTGAAGTTGTTGAGCTTTTGCTTCAAGAAGTCCCCAGCAGCATTGCCACAAAAGAGCCTGATGGACAGACGGCTTTGCATCATGCTGCTGTCGCAGGCGGTGTTGCAGTTTTGCAGGCTTTGATCCGAGCAAGGGGGGATGTGGGGAGCTTGGACAACAGCGGATGCAGTCCGCTGTGTTCTGCTGCACGTGCCGCTCAGCCGACAGCAGTCGATCTGTTGCTCAAGGCACGTGCGCAAGTGAGCTCTGCAACTGGGGATTGGACCTGTTTAGACGATGCAGCAAGCTCACAGAAATGGTGGGGCTCTGATTGGACCGCAGCCAAGAATTCCACCTTGCTCCTGGCAAGGTGGGCGGACGAGCCAGGTGCACAGTCCTTGGTTGCAATTCTGGAAGGACAAGTATCCGGAAGTCTGACTGCCACCTGCGGAATCGGCAAACTCGGCTGGACCAGTCTGCACTGGGCAGTTATGGTGCGAAATGTGGATGTCATCCAGACGCTTTCTTACGAGAATGCTGTGCCGAATGCAAGAGATTTGCAGGGACGTACTGCGCTGAGTCTCGCTGCTGATCTTGGTCTGCTTGAAATTGTGAGCCTCCTTGCCCGGCATTCGGAGTTGAACAGCGCTGATGTGACGGGCTTGACTCCACTTATGTGGGCCGCCAGGCGAGGTCACGCTGAGACTTGTAAAAAGCTGCTGCAGCTCAGGGCAGATCCCCACCAGAGAGATGCCAGACACAACACTCTTATGCACTTGGCCGCATCGAGTGGGAGCAAAGAGGTGGTTGATGTTTTCAGGACATGGGACAGAAAGACCGAAAACTCTCTGGGGGAGACGGCTTTGTTCAGTGCTGTGCATAGCAAGAACGCCACCTTGGTGGAATACATGCTTTCTGAGCTGGGCTACAGTGCAAATCACAGCGATATCTTCGAGAGGACCGCTCTGTTTTATTCCTTAAGTTCTTGTCAGCGTGATGTGTGGAAAAAATTGTCCAAGCAGACGGACACCAACCATCGAGACTACTTGGAGTATCGGATAGACGAGATGCCTGAGTTCAGGAGTTCTTTATGTGTGCAAAGGACAAACAGTGAAGACCTCTACACGCTGGATGTTCAGGTGTCCTCCACAAGTTTTCATGACAAGCTCGTGACTGTTGGAACAGATAGCAAATTTCATGGAGCGCTCCTGGTGGCACTGGCCCTGTCGGCTTTACTAGGTTGCCGATTGACCAATGGTTCAAGGCGCGGCAGTGGAGCTCTGGTGAGGCATGTCTCCAGCAATGACTCGAACACTTCAGAATCAGAATCAGACAGTGCTGAGTCAGGGGATGAGACATTGGCCGGGTCATGTGGCGCCCGCTGTCAACATGTTCTGGATGTGTCCAAACGCGCCGCGCAAATCCAGACAGCTTCAAGGCTACTTGGCAGGTACAAGCGGATATTGCTCGCACGGCGCTGTTTGGATGTCGTTGCCCTGTTCGTGTTTCCCTCTATCATGTGCCGTGTTTTGGCCTGGTGGCATATGTTGATATGGTGCCTGCTTACATGCATTCTGCCTCCCGTCTGGCGCAAGGTCCTCGTCGGATCAACAACAGAAGGATCAACAAGAGAAGAACTTCGGAGAGACCTCCGGGATCTGCTAGAGCTGCTAGAGCGCCCAGCGAGACTCATCGGATCAAGAGACATTTGGGCCTGGCTCAGAACACTCTACTTGCTCTTGCAACTGTTGTGGTGCATTCTCCTGAGCGGCGACGTGTGGAGGAAGCAGCACGAGTACCTTTGGAACCGCAGCTGCTATCCCATGTCAGAGTTGAATCAAATCTCAAGGCAAGAATTGCCGATCCCCTTTCCGGTTCAGCTGTGTACCGAGTGGTCCGTTTTTTGGCTTGTGTTTGCAGTCGGAGCTGCAAGCGTGGGAAGCTTGTGGGTGCTATGTTCATCAAAAATGTGCTCGTCACTTGTTGGGAGAGTTCTTTATGTCGCCATGACAGTCGCCTGGGGTCTGTTGGTGATGGCGTTTTGGCCAGAAGCACCTGCCACCTTGCCTCTGTCTTTGGCCGACATTCTGGTCACATATCGAGCATCTGTGTTTCTGCTGACGGTTCTCTGGGTGATTTTGAACCTACCGACTTCCCAAAGCACTGTACTGTGTGACATGGTTTTAGGGTGGCTGAGGCCTGGAAACACAGATCCTTTTTCAATTGTTGCTAAGAAGGTGCGAAGGGTGGCTAAGAAGCGACGGGATCGAGCTGGAACATGCTCTGTCACAGATGGACACCTCTTCACGCGCTTCGAGCCACAGACACCGTTGACAGTCTTCCAAACAATGGCATTTTGGTTGTTGGACATATATCTGGATCTCCAGACGGTTGTGATCTTTGCAGCTGCTGGTTTCTACATATATGCCTCATTGATTATGGGGGCATTCTTTTGGGGGCTTTTTGCAACAGCTTCGGAAGGTGCATTCAGCAAAATGGGATCTGCCCTGCGGCAAACCGTCAGGACGCAAGTGCGAGCAAAGGAATATCAGGCCTTGCTGGACCATGAAGCATCCATCGAAGTGCCAGTAGCATTGGTCCTGTCGACATACGGCCTACCCCTTGTCGCGCATCGGCCAGCGACTGCAATCATGACCCTGGCTAGTATCTTCATGTCACTCGGGCGTCAGGCTGAATGGCTTTACGAAGAGTTTGATGTGTCTCAGGACCTCATGTCGAAGAAGGACATAATGGAAGAGATTCCAAAGGCAGCCAGCGATGGCCCAGCGAGGTGTGCACGGGTGCCGCGGGTTTGCTGATCTTGCGGGAACGGTGGGATGTGTCGAAGCTCTCACCAGAGGACTGATCCGAACCATATCCAGCAAAAAGTGTCTGCTGAATTGGAAGTGGGGTGACGGTAGCCAGTAGTTTCCATTTTCTTTCCATCATCGTGCGGTGCTCTGTGCAATTAATTTGGTAGTATTCCCCTGTTGCACGCCCTCTGCTCCTGCGTCAGATCGGCTAAATCAAACCCCTCAAGCCGTCAGCCCTTCCCCGCTTGCAGGACGTGTTTGCCAATCAGTGTCTTGGCCGTTTCATGTCTCTGTTGTTCAGTTTTCTGGAGGAGAGAGACGGGATGTTGGCATGATCTTCCCTTTTAAAACGCCAAGTGTGCCCTCCCACAACATGGAACTTCAAAGTCTAGTCTGAAAGAATGTAGTGCAGCATTTGTCCTTCACTTCTGAGGCTTGATGCAGCTGATGAATCCTTTATCCTAAATAACCCTAAACCCTAAAACCCTAAACCCCAAAACCCTTAAACCCATAAACTCAGTCTTCATCGGACCTCGAGGCCGCTGCGCCTGAAGCCGACAGCCCTCAAGTCAACACCCCAGAATCACATAAGGAGGAGCCCTAAGGATCCCTTACAGGAGCCCTAAGGATCCCTGAAAGAACCCTAAAAGATCCCTTAAAGGAGCCCTAAGGATCCCTTACAGGAGCCCTAAGGATCCCTGAAAGAACCCGAAAAGATCCCTTAAAGGAGCCCTAAGGATCCCTTAAAGGAGCCCTAAAAGATCCCTTAAAGAACCCTAAAAGATCCCTTAAAGTCAACACCCCAAAATCACATAAGGATGGGGTTCACTATACCCTAACCCTATACCCCAAACCCTAAACCCTAAACCATCCTAAACCCCAAACCCCAAACCCCAGACCCTAAACCCCAAACCCTAAACTCCAAACATTAAACCCTAAACCATCCTACACCCCAAATCCCAAACCCCAAACCCTAAACCCTCAACTCCAAATCCTAGGCCTTACCAAAGGATCCCGAAAACTCCGAGGATGGCCTTCGCTGCGCTGAAGGCGGATGGCTCGGTGGTCACCTGGGGCGCGGAGGGTGCTGGAGGCAGGCTTAGGGTTTAGGGTTTAGGGTTTAGGGTGACTCCGGGGTTTCGGCTTGATAGGGTTTAGGGCTTTTTGGGGGTTCGAGGTTTGGGGTGTAGGGTATAGAGTTTGGGGTTTAGGGTTCAGGATTTAGGGTTTAGGGTTTATAGGGCGTTAAGGTTAATTAGGGTTTAGGGTTCGGGTTAGGGTTAGATTCCAAAAGTTCCAGGGTTTACGGGGTGTAGGGATTGTGCGATAGGTTCTATAGACGGGGACCAGGGCTCAATGAGGGTCTGAGTTTCGGGCTTAGGGCTTGGACTTTACAATGATAATGATGGTTTAGGGCTTAGGGCTTCAGGGCCCTATCAGGTTTCTTGACACGCGGGTGACACTATTCCGGAGGTTTTTAGGGCCTGGGTTCTGAAATCCAGCACCCCTGATGAGGTGATATGCCGCAAAAGATAGAAGGGTCCTTACTAAGGGGTCTTGCGCCCCAAAAAAGAACACACGCAACCATGAGGACCATACGTGTGGGGTTATGGCGGTTATGGGTCCCCTCCAAGGGGGACGTTTTGGGTTCCTACCATGTTCCAGGGGCTTAACACAGTGACCTCAACAATTGATAGTGTGCTTCCCGAGGGCTACCTAACAAGACTTCCCTGCTGAGGCTGTAGGGTCTAGCGTTTGACAACATGGGAATTTAGGTGTTAGGATTTGTTTTCTCCATCCCTTGGAGGATCCATCGCGTCTGTTTTGGAAGTCTTCATTTCTGAGATGCTTCCATATAGAGTAATTATGTCCAACCATGTACCACCGTTTTGTCATTCTCAGGAGATAGCAGCAGTGTCCGCGCCGAGCTCTACTCAGTGCAGATGCTGGGCTCAATAGCTGATGTAGAGATGTGACTCGTTAGATTATAATATAGTTCTTACTGTCTTCATACTCATTTTGACATGCCGGAGATACATGTCCTACACGTATTGAATTGTCTCCTTTCCCTAAAGCATTAACCCCACTGCCAAAGAGGTGTAGCCTCGAAATCCTGGATACCCAGAACCACAAACCACAAACCCTAAACCCCCCAACCCTACCCCTAAACCCCCTAAACCTTGAAGCCCCTAACCCTAAAGCCGCTAACCCTAAAGCCCCTAACCCTAAACCCTCTCACCCTAAACCCCTAAACCCCCTGAGCCGAAACCATCCCGAACCCTAAACCCTAAACCCCAAGTCTAGAATCCGAAGGCCTCTGGCCCGTGGCCCCCTGAGAGTCTCCAACTTCAGCAGCGAAGTACGACTTGAAGGGTTTGGGGTTGGGGTTTAGGGTTTTCAGGTTTAGCTCGGGCTCAGGGCCTATATAGGGCCGGGGGTTCATATAGGGGTTCGGTTTTAGGGTTTACGTATGGCTTACGGCTTAGGGTTTACATGGGGTTTAGGGTTTATATTGGGTTTAGGGTCTAGGGTTGAGAAAGAGGGTTTAAGGTTCATAGTTGGGTTCAGGGCATATATTGGGGTTTATGGTTTAGGGTTTTAACCTGAGGCCTGTGGATATTCAATCACCTTGTAGGGTGTTCAATGGCACACTCAAAACACCAGATCCTAAACCCTAAACCTTAAACCCTAAACCCTAAACCCTAAACCTTAAACCGTCCCAAAACACCAGACCCTAAAACCCTAACCGAAATAAACCTTCAGGTTCCAGGATGTAGACGTGTTGGGTTAAAGTTAAACCCTATACCCATAGGCCCCATAGTAGTTCGTTTTTGTGGCTTTTATATAGGATCCTATTAGGGAAGCCCCAAAAGGAACTACTATGGGGCCTGTGGGTAGGCTTATGGCTCCGGAACCCAACAGCCCGCTTTTCTGCTTGCAGCTTCGGTACTTCCTGTGGCAGTGACACGCCTGAGGCAGATTTGCCCTTCGCATGCAGCTTTTGCGGCTGTGCGCAGCGACGGCGCCATCGTAACTTGGGGGGTCACTTGGCTATGGTTAGTTGTGTAATGCAGGGGCGTTTATAAGTAGAACAGGGGTTTGGGGCATATTAGAGTATAACTACAATCAGGAGCTTTCAGAACAGTATAGGTAATTATTTAGGCCCCTATATTAACCGCTGTCTTGGCTGGATTCAGTCCCGGGTTCAGGGCGGTGCTGGAATTTCGGTTCGTTGTTGTATGGGTTTACTTCGAGGCTCACTGGGTTTTCTTTCTGTGGATATACGGGGTCGCTTTGAGAAACAGAAGCCGTGCATGTACAAAGTATGATCTAGCCCGTGGAGATGTATAAAGGCACAGTACAGCTTCCTGATTAGTCTGATGAATCTGCTGTAGGCTGCCGCCTTCTTCACATTCGTCTAAATAGTGCTGGATCAGGACCTACACCATCCCCAACTTATGGTCATGCTTCCTTACTCTCAGTGTGGGTCATCTCTGTCATCACCTGTACCTCATCCATCGGGGAGGGCTGCAGATGTCATGTTATGTTGAATCGATTCCGCCTGCAAGCCTGGACTTGGTGCCTCCAACTTAGCGAGCGGATTAGTATGGAAGCCTGCCAAATCAGCATCATAGTTGTGCTATGTTGTAGTGTTATATAATATTCCCCAGAACTGTGTTCTAACTGTTAAAGCCCCCATATCTCAGAAGTTTGTAGACCTGATTCGGATTGGAAGTAAACCCTTCGCGATACGTGTCTTGTGCCAGTCTGCTTTGATCCAAGGATGCAAACCACGGTGGTCAGTTCAGCCAGGGCTGCCGCGTGCTTCAAGCATCCGAAGAGAAAAAGAAAAAGGGCTAAGATAGGGGCCTAAATAATTACCAGTGCTATTTTTGTGGTTTTTTATTATAAGTATAGTATGCATGCCCAAAATCCTAGTCTAATTATAAAGGCCCTTGTATTACTGAAGTCCTGGGGGGTTTGAAGAATGAGCAATAATGTCCTGGCTGCAGCCCCCAAATAAATTATCGTATAATCTATCCCAGAGTCCTTTAAGAAGTGTTGAGTCCCATCAGTACGGAATCGCTGTTGAATTCTAGAATGTCCCTCTCTGTTAGTGAAGGTATGATCCTTGGTTCCTTAGTCACGGGGCATTGTGCACGATGAGCGACCCCGAAGCAAGCGACAGGCCGGCATCATCAGCCGGGATCACACTACCTGAGCTTGTCGGACGACCTGGCCTTTGTTCGGAGCTGAGATTCTAAACCATGAACTCCTGTTTTTGATGTTCCTCCTCCTACTATTCCTCGTATTCTTTCCACTCCTACGCCAACGGCTACTCCTACGCCTACGCCTACTCTTACTCTTGCTCCGACGACAACCACTACCACTACGCTACGACGACGAGTACTACCACTACCACTACCACTAC